TGTTGATGCACAATAGTTTTAACGTCAATGACAACATTTGAACAAAGTTTATTGTGGTGTGCTTTTTTTTCTTGTGTGTGTTGAAAACCAAGTGCTTTTTGTTTTTGTCTTTTTGGAACCACAAAGTTCAATTCCAAAGTTATTTGAACAATTAAACCACCGACAGTAAAGGCAGCGTGCGTGCACAAGAAAACTGCCAACCAGCCGAGCAGCTGGAAGGCTTTGGCTCCCAGAAACATCCGGCGGTCCAAACACGGCGTTCCTATTGACTCGTTTGAAGCATGTGCAGGTGTTCAGGCCTACGGTAAACAAAACAATCGGGACAGCGTCGACGCTTGTCAGGACATCATCTGTTTGATGAGCCAAATCTACTGGAGAAAAGCGGCAACGGCTCTCAAAGGGGCCGCCTTGTTCAAGGCTTCGACTCTAAACGCGGGCCCCCTCTGATCGGCCGCTGCGCAAACAAGCACCAGAGAGATTTACTCAGATTAAGCAACTCGTGACAAGTCGCTTCAACGGTTCTGACGGGCGAGAACACGATGAACCCAAACAGACACTCGACGCAAAAACGGCAGAGAACAAGGCTGCATTGAGGTGATTTGAAAAGGGAGCTGCTGCTTCAACGGCAGATCAAACAGACCTAAACATTTACCGTCGGGAGAGGCTTTGGATCAATCAAATTTAAATGGGTTTTTTTTTTTTTTTTTTTAACCCGCACCTCCTCCCTGCATATGCAATGAATTTGTGATGCGAGCAATTCGGCTGCTGTTGTTATGATAATGCAAAAGCTGGAGGGAGCCCATGCACCCCCCCCTCCTCCGCCCTTTTGAACCTGTTATTATTATTGTTATGGCACATTTGCGCAATGTGGGATAAGCAAGGCCTGTGTCCGAAAGACACGTTTTGAAGAGGTGAAAGCGGCTTCAAAAGTGAGCCAAGGGTCCTCGAAAGAGCTTCATGTTGATTCATTAGCTGTCAAAGTTTGGCTTCTTTTTGTGCAGTCGCCACGCAACCTGCAATCTTTTCTGCATTTATCGTGCGTGGCTGCGGCTGTAAGCTAGTCGTCGCGAAAGCACAAATAAGATCGCCGAAAGAGGATTATTTGCGGGAATATTTACAGTCAGAAAGCTCACCGCGGTCCCATTTCCTAAAAAGAATCGGTTCCCTGTTTTCCATAGCTCATCGTTGTCGTCGTGTTCGGTTTAGTCGAACGTGTCGAAAGGTTCATCTTGACTTTTTCGACCAACGGTACGTGCTGCGTATTTCCATCCATGAGAAGGAAGGACGACGACAGGAGAATTCTTCTTCTTTTGTATTTGTCGTTAGTTGTTGGGGTTGAATAAGCACGTCGAAATTGCAATTGTGTGCCCGTTTGACTTTCGGAGCAGGATTTGGAGGATAATTACAGGTCTTCTGCTCTACTGTTTACATCCATCAGATGGAATACTGCAGGAGAATTCCAAGTTTTCGTGTCTTCACGATCTCATGGTCGGACTGGATTAGTTTTGTGCTTATTTGTCTTTTCCGGCAGCAATACAGTACGTGTTTTTTTTTCTTTCATTTTTCTTAAATTGTCTGGCTTTTTACCTCTCCCATGTTACACAACGTTCGAATTTTTTTCTCTTTAGTCACAGTGAACATGTTGGGACTCTCTGCTGCATATCTCAGAAGTGGATTCTATCTGTGCATATCCGTCTTTTAGGGCAGCAAAATAT